AGGCTGCGGTGGCCGGGAGCGGCCACTGCACTCCAGTCTGGACGACAGAGTGAGATCCCAACTCAAAAAAAAAAAACACACCAAAAAAAACCAGCCTGGCACGGTGTCATGTGCCTGTAATCCCAGCACTTTGGGAGGTGGAGGCAAGAGGATTGCCTGAGCCCAGAAATTCAAGACCAGCCTGGGCAACTTAGCAAGATCCCATCTCTACAATAAATTAAAAAAAACAGTTAGCTGGGCATGGTGGTGTGTGCCTGTAGTTCCAGCTACTTGGAAGGCTGAGGCAGAAGGATCACCTGAGCCCAGCGGGCCAAGGCTGCGGTGCCTGAGAGTGTGCCACTGCACTCCAGCCTGGGCGACAGAGTGAGACTCCGACTCGAAAAAATAAAGGGACATTGGGTTTTTGTCTGCCCGGTTGTCTACAGCCACCGCCACCGGATCTGGCTGCCTGGTGTCTGTGTGTGACATGTGGCGGGGAGGATGCCTTCGAGCCCAAACCAGGGCCTGTTCCTCGGGCGACCTTCCCTCAGTGTGCAGGGGAGGGGAGCTTGCTGGGCAAGCGCTGAGGAGAGCCGGCTGTGTGGAGCTCGGCCTGCGGGGCCAGCCCCTGGGCCCTCTCATGAGAGGACACTGTTGAGGGGGTCCCCCCAGCAGGCATCCAGGAGGCGGATGCTGACAAGTGCGCCTCCCCCAGCTCGCCCCACAGCGGAGACCCTCCAGCCATCTGTGAGATCTCGCCCTTGGTGTCGTACTCAGGAGAGGTGAGAGCCCGGTCCTGTCCGGGGCAGTCCTGGAGTCAGAACTGCGAGCCTGGGGGAACGGTCGGGGGAGGGGGAGCTTGAGTGGAGAAGTCCCAGCTCTGCCTCCCTTTACCAACGGGGTAGATGGTCCCTTAAATTGCAGAGGAGTTTTCTGGGTGCGGGGGGGGTTGGGGTGAGCTGTCCGGAGGCCTCTGCAGATGCTGGGAGGGGGTGGGGCGGCCCACAGCCCTGGCCCGAGCCCAGCATTGGGCCATTCAGGCTTTCACGGGAGCCTTCTGAGGGACACACGCCAGCCCTGTGCTGACCCTCTGGCCGCAGCTGCCCCATCGTCTTCTCCAGCCAGGCCAGGCCGAGCTTGCTGGGAAGGCCTCATGGCCTGAGGTCTTGGGCAGCCCTGCTGGGTATCTGTCCCTGAACCTCCTTGACCCCAGGCAGAGCTGGACCCTCCTGGGGGCCATGGTTCCACCCGAGGCCACCGCTACTGCCTCTCTGCAGGGTCTGGAAGCATTCCTGCAAGGCCGGGAGTTCCAGTCCCCGCTCATCCTGGATGCGGACCAGGCCGGGGTGCTGTGGCCGCCGGAGTCCTGACTTGCGTCCAGGCCTGCTGAGCTGGGGTCCTCACAGCCGGGGGAGGTGGCCCCACCAGAGACTCCAGGAAGGAACACCGGCCGCCATGTTTTCCACCTGCAGAAGGAAACGTGCTTTCTCCTCAAGGGTGGGGCTTTTCCCGTCCCTTCTGGACACAGTGATCACAGCCTGCTGTGGGCTCTGTGGCTCTATGCCTGGCTGTGGCGCCCAGCTGAGAGGCAGAGGGACTCTGGACTTTGGAGACTGGGGCTAAGAGGAAGCTCTGGGGTGGGTCCCTAGGGTGGTGTAGTGTCATCTGGGGAGAGCAGGAGGGGATGTCCCTTGGGAAGCCAGCCCTGGCCAGCATGCAGACCGACGGCACTCATGGGTGGGGGGGGTGAGGCACAGCCAGCATGCCCTTCTGTAGACCACGGACAGTAGACAGTAGAGGTGGACCATTACCTCTCTTCTAGGGTGTGTTCCGAGGGCTGTGCATCCCCTCATGGTGGCCGAGTTGGTAACAGGTGAGGCTGGGTGACCCTAGCCCAGCTCTCCCAGCACCATAGAAGGGACCCACCCCATAAAGGCGGCTCTGAGCAGCTCAGCCTGGACACGGCCTGACCTGAGCGCCCACCTTCCTTCCATTTCTCCTCGAGCCTCTGCCCCTCACATCTGCGGTCGGCTTGGGCTGTGGAGTTTTATGTACTTCCCCAAGACCTAGCGGGACCAATCCTGGTGGCTGCCTGCTGGTAGCCGAGGAATCTGGGATTGTCACCTTGGGAGCACAGCAGGCCCCCGGCTGCCTGGAGCCTGACGGATCTTGGTCTCCTGGTCTGCTGGTCTTGGTCTCCTGGTCTGCTGGGAGCCCTGGCTCCCATCATGCATCCTGGATGAGGCTGGGGAAAACCGGCTGGCCTGAGCCCCTCCCAGGCCTTGCTGCCCCAGGGCATCATGCCTGTAAGGATTCATACCTGTGGCCTCTCCCCTCTAGGTGGAGAGATTCTGAGATACAACCATTGTGGCCCCCTATGCTGCAGCCACACCCCATGGGGGACCCTCTTCTGAGTCCCATCAGTGTCCCCAGGGGAATGTGATCTACAAGCAGGTCACATGCAGCCAATTCCACTGGCACAGTGGCTGCATCAATGCCTCCAGGCCTGGGAGAAGCAGCAGTCAGCCCACACCTTGCCCCTTGGGGCCAAAGCCAGGACAACTTCTGCTACCCCCCACCCCATGTTGCAAACCTCAAGCAAACCATGTGCCTTAGGGCCTTTGTATCAGCTGCTCTGCAGGCAGGCAGAAGAGTCAGCTGAGTGGGATGGGCCTGGGGCAGGGTTTGTGTGCAGCTGTGCCTCGTGGCTATGTCTGGGGCAGTCATGCGGCCTCTGTTCCACACAAGCACTGTTAGGTGGGTGAAGTATTTTTTCTGCTTTTCACCTCAGTCTTAAAATTATTTCTTCAGCCGGGCACGGTGGCTCACACCTGTAATCCCAGCACTTTAGAAGACTGAGGCAAAAGGACTGCCTGATCCCTGTCTGAACCCAGAGTTGGACACCAGCCTGGGCAACTTGGCTAGACCTCTTCTCTACAGTAAACTTAAAAAATTAGCCAGGCATGGTGGCACATGCCTGCAGTTCCAGCTACTTGGAGGCTGAGGCAGAAGGATCACCTGAGCCCAGTAGGTTGGGGCTTCAATGGCCCTGAGTATGCCACTGCATTCCAGTCTGGGTGACAAAGCAACTCCGAATCAGAAAAATTATTTCTTCAGACAAGGTGGGTGAATTCTTGAAGCAACTCTCTAATATTTTCTGATAATTACACCTTCATGGAGAGTTGCAAAGAAAACTTAGGGAAGTACTGAGCACCCATCATGCACCCTGGATGAGGCTGGGGGAAACCAGCGGGCCCGGTCCACTCCCAACCTGGCTACCCTGGGCGGTCGTGCCTGCAAGGATTCACACCTGTGGCCTCGCCTGGGAAAATGCAGTGGTGCCTGATCCTGAGATGCAGCTTGCAGGTCAGCCATCGCGGCCCCCTATGCCGCAGCCACACCCTGATGGGGGACCCTCTTCTGAGTCCCATCAGTGTCCTCAGGGGAATGTAATCTAGAAGGTTCCCTGATGGTTGCAGCTTACGTGCTGAACCCAGGCAGTGACAGTGATGCAGCAATCCAGGTCCTTGCGTGTAGGAGTACACCCACCCCTGCAGCCGAGATCCATGCCTCTCCCATCACCACAAAGACCTCCTGTCATAATCACCCCCAACACCCCTAACCCCAGGCAACCGCCGATGAGTTTTGAAAGATTTCCTACGTCCTGATGTCCCCTAGATGAGACCTTCCCAATAAACAAGGTGCTGTAATTGATTGCAGCCGCCACTGTTCCACACAAGCACTGTTACGGGGGTGAATATTTTTTCTTCTTTTTCACCTCAGTCTTAAAATTACTTCTTCAGCCGGGTGCGGTGTTGGGGTGTTCCAAGTAGCTGGAAATACAGGCATGTGCCACCATGCCCAGCTAATTTTTTAAGTTTATCGTGGAGAAGAGGTCTAGCCAAGTTGCCCAGGCTGGTGTCCAACTCTGGGATCAGGCAGTCCTCTTGCCGCAGTCCTCCAAAGTGCTGGGACTACAGGCATGAGCCACCGCGCCTGGCCAATGCAGTTTCTGACCAGCGTGTGGGAACAGGAACCAGGTGTCCACAGCTGTGTTGGAGGGCAGGAGCTCATGGGGGCCTCTTGGAAAGAAGAGTCCACAGGTGAAGGATGAGCCCACAATAGGGTGCCCTGGAACCCCCTCGTGCTCCCATCCAACTCTGCCAGGGTCTCAAGGGGCCTGAGGCAACCTGGGGATAAGGAACCTTCAGGCACTCTCCCGGGTGGGCTTCTGCACCCTCATCTCTCACTGCCTGGTGACTCTCGCCCACACTTGCTCTTTAAGATGCTGTTTCCCTGGTAACCACGTGGGAGGGATGCTTGAAGGCACTGTTGGGAATGACGACAGAGCGATGCGTGGTGTCAACCTATAAAAAAAAGAATGGGGTTGGGTGCGGTTGCTCACGCCTGTCATCTAACACTTGGGAGGCCGAGGCGGGTGCGGGGGGGCTGCTTGAGTCTAGGAGTTGTTTGTTTTTTTTTTTTGAGTTGGAGTCTCACTGTCACCCAGACTGGAGTGCTGGGCTCCAGTGATCCTTCCACCTCAGCCTTCTAAGTAGCCGGAACTGCAGGTGTGTGCTACCATGCCCGGCTAATTTTTTGATTTATTGTAGAGATGAGGTCTTGCCAAGTTGCCTGGGCGGGTCTCGAACTTGCGGGCTCAGGCAATCCACTCACCTCAGTCTCCCAAAGCACTGGGATTACAGGCTGAGCCACCCAGCCTGGCTGAGTCTAGGAGTTTGAGACCAGCCTGGGCAACACAGCAAGATACTATCTCTACAAAAAAAAAAAAAATTAAGAAATTACCCGGGTGTGGTGGTATGCACCAGTAGTCTCTGCTATTTGGTAGGCTGAGGCTGGAGGACTACACCACCGCACTCCAACTGGGGTGACAAAGTGAGACCAAGTCACGAAAAAAACCCCCAAAACAAAGCTAGGACTCTCCCAGAATAAATGAATTTATTCAGGAATGTCAGAGAATTGAGATTCAGGGTAGGCAGGACACTGTGGATCACGCATATCAGGGGTGTTGGGGAAAGGTGTGTGTGTGTGTGTGTGTGTGTGTGTGTGTGTGTGTTGGAGTGTCACTCTGTGGCCCAGGCTGGAGTGCATGCTCATGGCATGCTCATGGCCACAGCAGCCTCACCCTGTTGGGCTCAGGGGATCCTTCCGCCTCAGCCTTGCAAGTGGCTGGAACCAGGGGCGTGCGCCACCACGCCCGGCTAGTTTTTTGATTTATCGTAGACGAGGTCTCACCATGTTGCTCAGGTTGGTCTCGAACCCCTGGACTCAGGCGATCAAGCCTCTCGCCTCTGCCTCCCAAATAGGTAGAATGACAGGCGTGAGCCACCAAGCCCGGCCTAGAGCATCTTTAGAGGCAACGAATTCCACGAAAGCTCTTTTAAACCCGGAGGCTACGACGACCACAAGGCTGCAGGGGCTTGTCACGGGAGCCAGCCGGGGGCTTCCTGGCCGTCGGCCGCCGCCGGGCGAGTGTTTTCAGGCAGGCAGCTTACCTGGAGCCGCGAGTCGAGGAAGGGCTCGTGAGGGGGCTGCTGCAGGCCTGGGGGGGCG